GTCTTGGAGTTGTTTGAATTGTTTTTTCACAGCAGGGTTTCAGACTAAGAGTACTGGATGTTGTTAATGGCTATTTAAAGCGCATTAGATGACGTTACCCGGCTTTTCAAAGCGTATTTGATATTATCTGGCTGTTCAAATCGCATATGATAATTTTATCTTGGATCGTAAAAACCGTATTTGAGACTGAAAGGAATCTGTGCTAGAAACATCCCTAAAGAATGTTTACGGGGGATAAAACCCCCCCGCTGCCCGGTTTTCCGGGACCAGGGGCTCCTGGTGAATTAAAGCCCGTTTTCATCAGGCTTTTTGTTTGTTTGGTTTAGCCGCAGACAACGTTTTGAACCCAGCCCGGCTGGTCTGGAACTGACGTGTAAACTTGCCCAGTTCCTCTGGAAGACACCCAGAGGCCTATTCAAAATTTGAGATACCACTTAGATTTATAACCAATTTCTTGACAGGAGGGAGAATTGGTTGTCTAAAAAGCACTCAGTGTCGAGGGGAAAGTTAGGAAAGCTCCTGTGTGGCTTGAGGATAGAGCTTTGGGGCTCCACGTCTCGCGCTGAGTGACCCACATGGGTTTAGCGCTGTATTTACACAAAATAATTATAATGACAGCGCCTTCAGTTTCTGATCAGCAATTTTAAAATGTATTATCATACGGAGTTTAACCATTCACATTTAAACTACATTTGTCTTGCGCATATAATAATATATATATATTATATTATATATATATATATTTATAAAATATATATATTTATTATATATATTATATATATATTTTATATATATACAGTGGACCCCGCATAACGATCACCTCCATTGCGACCAATTATGTAAGTGTATTATGTAAGTGCGTTTGTAGTGTATGTTAGGGGTCTGAAATGATTAATCTACTTAAATATTCCTTATGGACAAATTCAGTCAGTACTGGCCCCTTTAACATACTTCTGGAATGAAAAAAATATCGTTAAACGGGGGCCACTGTATATATATATTATATAAATATATATATTATATATTTTTAATAATTATATATTATAATATACTTGAATAAAAATATCGGTCCACCTCTGGATGTAAAATGTGGGACCCATAGCTCGGAGAAGTGGATAAAAAGGCTTCAAGGAAGAATATCTGGATTCCTTCCTCAAAGCCGTTGATATTCACTTCCCTACCACCCCATCTTTTCAGTATATATATTTTTTTTTACCAATAGGAATATTTTATTACACAACTATGTACAGAAAATTTAAGAGATACATTGTTGTATATAATTTTATATATATTTATATAATATTTATATATATATATATATATAATATATAATATATATATATAATATATATATTTATATATATATATATATATATTATATATATATATATATTATATAATATATATATATATATTATATATATAATAATATATATATATATAAAATATATATTATATTATTTATATATATAATATATATAATATTATATATATATATAATATATATTATATTATATATATATTATATTATATTATATATATTAATATATATATATAATATATATATATAATATATAATATATATATATATATATATATATATATATATATATATATATATATGTGTATGTATGTTAACCTGTTGACTGCAACAGACTTTCCCGTTGTTAAACGCTCATTCAATAAATCTGAATGACTACTCATACTAACCTTATTACTGTCTCCTTCTAATAAAATATTACATTAATATTGACACTGATCTTTACTTAGTATAATCCCTCTTTCGTTGCTTAAGAAAACAAGTTTTTTGTAAAAACGAAAGGGAAAAATGTGATATTTTTTTGCTTGCAATCCGAAGAATCAACTTAGAAAGTGTCACTCGCAGTTTATTTATAAGTACATGTATAAAGTTTTCGTGTTGATCATTGTGTATGGGGTGAACAGAGTGGATGTGATGAGGAGGAAAACAGAGACACAAACAGTGAAACACAACAACAGTAAGTAAGAACCTCAGATCATTCCATCATCCAGGGTGGAACAGAACTGAAGAAGCAGTTAGAACGTAGAGACGATTAAACCCCAATCCCACCCTTACTAGTGTTGGAAGAACTAGAGACGTTAATCCCATCCCACCCTTTCAGTGTTGGAGAGAACGTAGAGACGATTAATCCCCCAATCCCACCCTTTACCAGTTTCTCCAACACTATCATTCGTCACCCAAGTATGTCATTCCCCAGTATTTAAGGGGTATTTAAAGAGTATACAGTGGGGCAGGTGAGTAATATATAAGTGAAAGACGAAGTAGATTATCATCCATAGATCTACCGACTGGTGAGAGTTTTTCAGAGGTTAAAACTAAAAAGATAAGCTATATTATATAACAGTTATTGTTATTGTTTTAAAAAGTTTTCAAGGCTAACTTCAGTTCATTTGGTAAGAATGTGCAGCGAAGCTTGCCTAGGCTTCGGCTAGTGTATGTTGATGAATCTTAGCTTCCTGTGTGACTGGGTATCCAGGGAGGTATAACCTCATCTTGCTGTGTGAGAGTAACAACTTCCCTCCATTGAATATTAGATGGTACTTCGTTTCAAATCTTCTGTACATTGCAATACCTTGTTTTGCAATCTTGTTATTACGATTTCACGAGTCATTGCAATGCCTTAATCAAAATATTCTCATTCTAACACATACGGACACATTGTAATCAATAACAAACAAGATTCCTTCCTGCATGCCATCATGTCTTCATTACGAACTGATAGCCTGACGCTCTTTTATCTTCGTGAGTTCTTGTCTGACCTGCTCTGACACCTGTCTGCTTTTTACTTCACTAGGAAGTGCTCCCGTCTTCACTTATATTGTGAGGAAAAAAAGTTACATAAGGCATATCACAGATCCTCAAAGGATGTCACTCTCATACAGATTTTAAATTTCCTCAGATATATACCTCACTCATCACGGTAAAGTTGAGTAAGAATGTGAGGTAAATAACTGAAGTTGACTTACTCATAATAGCCCAGTGTGAGGTGAGTTCCACTCACATACTTCATCTACCCACTGAAGGCTTCTGTACAAACTTCATGTAATCAACACTGAAGGGTTAAACTTCAAGGGGTAAACAGTTCTCTGAGTTTGTTTTTCGATCGATATCTGTCACATTATTTCAAGTTTGATAGGTGTTAGAACACACGTAATACGTATGTAAATACCACAATATTTCTGGTCATTGCTCGTTTTCCTATTAAAAAATGTATTTTGTCTTGTTTATCGGTATATAAACTCGTACACATTATTCTTACCATCAAAGTCTTTGTAAACCT